TTTTCAAAGGATCATTTCCTAGGCTCATTTTAATGTCAATTTTCTTTTTAACCACAAGATGGCAGTCAAAGTTTGGGAAATAAAAAAAGCTAGCATTCCTCCTTAAAATGCATTAAATATATAATTATATAACCCTATAAAAAACAATGTTTAACTTGAAAGAATAGCACAAACACCCACTAAATTAATGTACCCAGCATAAATGTTTTCTATATAATTGGAGAAAAGAGAATCAAACATAGTTATGCTAAAGCAAGACCATATACTTCTGTGAGTTAAAACACATACAGAATCACATACTGCAGGAACTTAGAAATAATGCATATTACATTCTTATTAAAAAATAGTAACATTAAATCCAGAGTATATTCTATAAATATAAGAAAGTTTTATGCTGGTGTTTGTTATAGCACATGTTAATTTTTTATATATAGGAGAAAGGAAATAACATTGTTTAATAATAGATGTTGAGATCGACTCCAAACAAAACAAAACAAAACAAAAACCCCACAAAACTTTTTTATAGGAGATAGACTCAATTTGTGCTTGCAATTGGGTAGGCAATATTTTTACAGTTACCTGAAAATTTTAAGCTTTTATGTAAGCACATATTAATAGGCAGATTGGAAATCATTTAGTTTTCATTTATAAACACAATATGTGCTTATCAATAAGTTCAGGCAAGCTGGTTAGTCTCTTTGTGCCTCATGTATCCCTCATTAGTAAACTGCATATAATTACTAGCTGCCTCTGCTTTTCCAGAAAGGGAGGCGAAGACCCTTGTCTTAAAGCTGTGACCTATAACAAGGAAAGTGCTTTGACCTGGAGTGTAGGTTGACTAGTTGGCTTTGAAGAAGGCTGATGGATATGACTGGGAGTTACACTTAGAGATGTGTGTGTACACTTAGAGGTCCGCTCCACAACAGCATGGCCAGTATTATGTTAGGAAACAACGGGAGAATGCCTGGCACACAGTGGGTGCTTTGCCATGTTAGTTCCCATACTTTCTATGGATAGACAAGAGCAATACCCTTTTCTAAAGCTACATAGAATGTAAAACTTATCCAGAATTGATAACTTTCTGCCTGACAAATCTTAGACTACTGGCATAGATCTTTCCATTACCACATAAGCAATCATTAACTATAGATCATGACATAAAAATAGTTTTATCTATAATAATAAAAGCATAATATGCTAATTAGACTGGGCAGCAGAATGACCTTCTGAACATCATTCTGGACATCCTTCTGGATGAAAATGGGGTGGCAGGGGCTGATGCAGAGGCAATTAGGGGCGATCAGGCAGGCAGGTGAGTGGTTAGAGGGGATCAGGCAGGCAGGAGAGTGGTTAGGAGCCAGCAGACCCAGATTGCGAGAGGGATGTCTGACTGCTGGTTTAGGCCCACGGGATTGAGCCTAAACCGGCAGTTGGACATCCCCGGAGGGGTCCCAGATTGTGAGAGGGTACAGGCCTGGCTGAGGGACCCCCCCTCCCTCCCCTATGCATGAATTTCATGCACCGGGCCTCTAGTATGTGCATAAGTAAGAAAATTAAAAAAATAGCTTGCACTGCTTTCTGATTTTCTATCTTTCTACAGAGAAGATATATGCAAACTACTGATTAGATTCTAGACTCATATTTTTCCCATGTCTTGGTTGAAATAAAGCATTTGTACAAATAGCCAAAAGGCAGGCAACACAATGGGAAAGAAAAAAAAAAAGCCTTAGAAATGAACACCAAACCAAATGATCAATTCATAATTATTTATGAGGTGCTTATAATGACAATGGATACCTAGTAATACTAACTAAAAACATGGGTGGGACTTAAGAATTTGCATAAAATATTTATGACAGTCATTTATATTTCCAGTTTTCAATCACTGTTCTAGGACTACATCCTTAGAATTCCCTAAGTAGAACCATCATCTCTACATCAGAATGGGCCTTAATAGAAGTCAGTACCTACATTTTATTTCTCTGAAAAATAACTGTCCTCACATTTAATCCTATTAAGTGGGAAAACAAAGGTACACGTTAAGTGTGCATCATGCTACAAACACTACCTGAGTGCCTGCTGGTTGGACAGGTACTGTGCTGAGCTACCAGAATGGCCCTGCCTTGGTCACTCTTCACGACGAGATGCCTTGGTCACTCTTCACGAAGAGATGAAGTCCCACGCCACGGGGGCTGAAAGAGCTAGCGAGAGAGTGCCGTGGAAGGAGAGGATGGCAGGGACCCTCTCACAAAGAGACAACGTAGCTATATCTTCACGCCCTCCTTGTAAAATACTTTGCCAGGCAGAAGAGAGGGTAGAGGTGGAAAAGGGGAGGAAAAAAATATGCATATAATGGGACTAAAATAAATGTAGTCATGCTAGGTATTACTTTCCTAACTTGAGAAAAATTTTAAAATTTTTACATGTTTCTGACAAGACTATTTTTATTTGAAAAGTTGGTGGGCATGGGCTTTTATCTCTCCCTAACCCCAAGGGACTAATATTTATTGAATGTCCATATGTCAACAGGTATGTAATTTTATATATATACGATCTCATCCAAGAGATCAAATGCAAGACTACTTTGCAACCGAGGCCATGTTATCTATATTTAATAGGTAAGGAAACCAACTCACTGTGGGTAAGACTTTCTCCAAGATCTGTCTGACTCTAAAGCGCATGTCCTTTCCCCATGCTGCCTCCAAAGATTTTCCATCAGAAACTTGAACTAGAGCCACAGTAGGAAGAGCATGAACAATAGAAACCTCAGGGGGAGCTTACTATGTTCCAGATACAATTTGAAGCATTGTATTAACTTACTTAGTCCTCACAGCCTCAAAGGGGTGTAGGTACAGTAATGACTGTCCTTTAACAGAGAATGAAGCTGAGGTACAAAGAATTCAGATAACTTGCCCAAGGTCACAGAGCGGATAACTGGCAGAGCTGGGATCCAATACAGGCAGTCTGGCTCCAGCGCCCCTGCACTTAAGCGTTCCACATTCCACGTTTTCACTCAGACCAATCCTGACTCTAGACCACCGGCAAGGACCCTACTGGGCAAGATATCCCGGGCAGAAGGCACAAAGAGGTGAAAAGATCTCATGTCCCCAATAATACAAAAGAGTTTAGTGTGGCTGAAGAATTGGACCTTGATTGATGAGGGGATGGGAGGACAGTAGGAGGAGGGATATGAAGCAGGAAAGATAAGTCTCTCTGTTTCCTTAATGCTATGCAGTTGAAAGATTCTCAATTTGCATTTCCTGTTTTGTTTTTAATAGGAAATTTCAGTGTAAGAAAAGCATTTTCAAACATAAAAACAGAAAGATGCATATGTGATATAGCATGGACATGTAGACCAATCGCTCACGTGCATAGATCCCCAAATATTTTCTACTTGTCTCTATGAATTGACCACTTCATTGTACCTCATATATTTTGATGAATATGAGACTTTTAATAATTATCTGAAAAAAAGGCGATTCCACCATACTTTAGATTTTTGCATACTCAAATATTTATGGCACAATAAAATTATACAGATAAACGTACTATCTTTTAAAAACTTTATTTAGTGTGGGTTTTGTTTTTCTTTTTAGCTAATCAATTCCAATATCGAAAAGAAGCAAATATTATGATATAAATATATTCTCATCAACCACCAGATGGCATAAGGTGTGAGAGTTTCATTCTGACAAGGTCACCACGCACATGATAATTTGACCTATAACTTCAAAATAATGTATTTGGAAAAATGTTCTAGCACTCAAACAGCTTGCAATTATTTCAGCCATATGTAGAAGTGGATGGATAAGTTGAAAATGACATGGTCCTACTTTTTCTAAATTTGGGGGTTTTGTGGGATGCTGGCATTACATAATGAATATATGATCAAACAAATAAAACAAAGCAGTTCTCTTAAAGGAAATAAAAAAGGAAGTCACGTCAAAGCAAAATTAACTTTATGTTCTGAGTATGTTTCTTTAACTCTTAAATGAAACTTAAAACATGACTTCAAGAAAAAACACACACCATGCGTGCTTCTCAAATTCTGTTTAATAAAACTTCTCTGCTACCTATAATTTATTCTGAAAACAGAAAGGCATCTAATGGAAGAGCTTTTCTCCACTTTGGCTTAAAGAGGAGCTGTTGCCAGAGTCAACTGGAAAAAGAATATCCTACTGAAAACCCAATCTGAAGTCTGATGCTAAAGGGCAGGAAAGTATATTTTAAGAGCCTTGATTCCTACACAAATCCAAAATACAGCACATTATGTTTACTGATCCTGTATTTCCATCTGGAAAAGAGGTCACAGGCTAACAAGTCAAAGATCTAAAAAAATGAGGTAAATGAGGTTAATGCAAAAAAAAGGGGGGGGTATATTTATTCCCCTAGTTTTGTGGTAGCACACTCAGTACTTTGAAATAAGCCCACCAGGATAAATGACTACTACAACCCAACCCACACCACAGAGCGGAGAGGAAGTCTTCGCTCTTGCATCAGGAAGCAGAAAAACTGCCTTTGGAAGTCAAGAGCCTAAGATGAGACGGAGATCCCTTCCTTAAAGCTGCCTAAGAGTCTGATTTCTGAAGATACAATCATACTATATTTCTGTACTTTACGACATACTTTCTCATTAGATGTAATATATTTGGTTCCTGAGTGGGAAATCTGTGGGAGAGGAAAAATATTAGGAGCTCTGAGAAGGATGAAAAGCTATTTGATGATATATACACAAGTTAAGGTTTTTTATTTTCCTATTCCTATTTCTATCTCTGGTCCTTTATCCTTTTTTGGCAACTCATAGGTAGCAAAGATGATTCCCACCTGGATTCATATAAAAGGGGGAAAAAATAATACTTCTTATTTTTATTATGTTTAGAAAAAAAGGGTAAGTTCTTTCCAAAGGGTTTTTTTCTGATGGTTCAGTTAGATAGTAGAAAGTGGAATAGTCAATATTTTTCAAGTTAATAGGATAATATATTCCAGACACTTAAGATTACTTACTTTAAATTCCATTCTTTCTGATGTTTTTGCTCCATTTTCTTCCACTTATGATACTGCCCAATGAAACCTGGATTCTCGAGCACTGAAATTAGAGTATAAAAAAGAAGCTATCTATGCATTCTTTAATGAGAGTTCAAAGTTTAAAATAATCCACTACTCATTAAGTTGATATGTGGCAATGATGTACACTATATACTGCAAATCATGTGATAATGCTCAGACACTTTCCATATTTTTTCCTTTTATTTGAACTTGGTAATATTGGATATTGTTTGATATAAGTAGATTGTGACTTAAAAACTTTTCATTATCATGACATTTCTTTATGTATCATTTATAGTGATGAAGAAGGTGTTAAAATAACTCACATAGAAACTATAGACACCATAGTTTAACAAAGTTCTAACTGAGCACTTCAAGTAGCAAAGTAAAATCCTGGCGTTCAAAGTGACATTACAGATCTTGATCTTTCCCAAAGAATCTGCAACAGATGACCATCCAGCCTGTAAATAAATCCTTTGCTAACCACAAAAAACTCTCCTCTTTGTGCCTTTCCATTGACAGACAGACAGTAAGTCACGGTGTCCTTCCATAATCTGAGTGCTGAGTTTCCACTGGTCCAGTTCTGACCTCTGGAGCTGTCATGAGTAAGTTCATTCCTCCCCCGGGGGAGAGAGCCCTTCTAATATTTGGAGATAGCTCTCAGGGCAGCCTCAGTTCCTCCAGCTGTTTCTAAGACATGATTTTCCAGCCACCCAACCATCCTCACCATCCTGGCGATGACATTTGTTAATGTCCTTATTAAAGTTTGCATCCAGAACCAGCCAAGGATCTTAGTTTCATTTGAATAGCAAAGATGCAAGTGACTTACTGCTTCCCTCGATCTGTGTGCCACATCTTGGAGCTGCATTAGTATTTTGTGGAAATCACATCACACCACTCGCTCATATCTTTGTGGTTAATTATAAAACCCATGCCTTCAAATTCACATATAGTTTATTGACATCTATTATGCTTAAGGCACTGGTAGATTTTACATAAAATATGATTCGATCCAGATAAAATACACATGTATACCATATCTCTTTGTCTGTCTGTCAGTCTGTCTATCATCTCTTTGTTTCTTTTAATTGTCCTAGGTTTACAGTCGTGAACTATTTAACCAACTAGATGTTTCCACCAATCTTGCCAGTATCTGGGACTGAGTTCTTACCAATGATTGATGATCCCCTTCTTGCCTGGTGAAATTTGTCACTGATAAAAACATTTAAACTGAGTAATTTTCTTTTATTAATATTACATGATTTTCACTAGCAATGTTCCTATCTATATTTTAATTTCTTTTCTTGTGACCTAGCTGGTTTGGCTCAGTGGATAGAGTGTAGGCTTTCAGACTGCAGGTCCTAGGTCTGAGTCTGGTCAAGGGCACATGCCAGGGTTGCGGGCTCGATCCCCAGTAGGGTGTGTGCAGGAGTCAGCTGATCAATGATTCTCATCATTCATGTTTCTCTCTCTCTCTCTCTCTCTCTCTCTCTCTCTCTCTCTCTCTTTCTCTCTCTCTCTCTTTCTCTCTGAAAGCAATAAAAATATTTAAAAATTATTTTCTTGCTTCAATCATAAGCACATATACCAGTTACATACATATTCTTAGAGGTTTTATTAATATTGTTTCTATTGGTATTTGGATATATACTCCTCTCTTTTATTAAAGAAGGAAATCTGAGCTCCCAAGAATTCTTAGTGAGGTCTCATTGTTCCCTTCAAATGATTATCATAACTAATATTAATAGAGTTCTTACTAAATACTGGGCACTTGTAAAGTATGAATGCCGTGGTTACCGCTATAATACCCACTTTACAGATGAACAAACAAAAGGTTGAGTAAAATCTTCTCATTGTGACTATATATTACTTAGACAAAATTTAAAATTTGAATCAAGGATAATTTATATATTTCCTTAATTTTTTGAAATTGCTTTCCCTACATTTTCTATTTGAATATGTACAGCAGTCTCTTTCTTATATATTATGGTGTGGTCATCTTTCCTGACTATTCCCATTAATTTGACATCATTGACTTATTTTATTCATTGTTTTCTCTGCTATCTGAGAGATTTTTTTAAAAAGTCACAGTATTTGTTACAAATGTTTAATACGCCTATTTTATCCCTATAATTATTTTTCACTTATCTGTCTCTGACCACCTGCCTGTAAACTCCTCAAAAAGCTTACCATAATACTTATCTTCTTGTCTCCAACACACAGTCCATTGCCTAGAGATAGAAGATGTTCAATAAATCCTGTTGATTGGAGGAAAATAATGGAGGAATGAGGACAGGAGAAAGAGAGAGAGCACAGGAGAGAGAGCAAGAAGAAAGGACCAGGAAAATTCTCTCAGAAGTCCTTGAAGTAGAAATGCCCCCATTATTACCGTATCTTGGCCTTTGTGGTTTGTGATAGAAAATCAACTTCTACCGCCTCCATACTATTTCTTCCTTCCCTCCCAAGGATTACCAGGTATTGTTCCTACTCTGTTTTTGCCATGACACACCTCTTTTCCAACATCTGTATAGGTTGATCTTTAAAAATTTTTTTTCTACTACTGGGACTGCCAATGTCCAAAGAAATATAATAGCACCAACTTGCCTTAGCAGGTTTTATTTTCACACATGTTATCTCACAGCAACTTGAAATAAAAGTGGGAGGTTTTTGTCAATGAATAGAAATGGAAAAAAAAATGAGTACAAAGCATTACATGACTGACCTAAATTCACGTTACTATATGTGGCAAACTTGTACAGGGCTAAGGAGTCTCGAACTTCTGGCATCATGCTCTTCCGGCTAGAGCCTTGCCAACCTTGGTTGCACATTGTAATTACCTGGAGAGCTTTAAAAACTACTGCTGCCTGGTCTTGCTCTGAGAGCTCTTGATGTAATTGGTCTGGGGGTGTGCCCTTTACATGGGAATTTTTGCAAGCTCCTCTGGGGTTCTAATGAGCAGTCAAGGCTTAGAACCAGGCATGAGGACTAGACGATACTGCCTCTCAAGACTAAATGCAGTTCAGAGACACTTGCCCTTGTTTCTGGCTCAAAGACTCAAAGAATGAAAGTCTCCTAGGGTGAAAGCAAGCATCCCCAGGATGCTTCAGGCTGTTTGGTCTGTCTTGATGACAGCAAACATCAGGAAGCCCCCGCTCAATATTACAGGGTACACTGGTCTGAAGGAATTCTTTTCCTCGAACATAAACATTTCCTTATGGGGATCATATTCTGTCGTTAAGGTGCTGTTGCCCACAACCAGATGTAGTGGTTTGTTCTCTGCCAAGCTTTTAATTTGCCATTCTGTAGTGATGGACAGAGAACGGTGGATCATTCATACATTTTCCCATATGATTGCCTATGATTATGAGCTAATAATTACAATTATTAAAACACGTACTGCATATTCTTCAGAGTTTGAATTTAAACCTCAGGCCATATGGAATGGAACCCTTTAAGCCTATATAGTATTATTAACTAATGTAACCCCAATAAATTCAACTAAAAATAAATCTCTGGCTATAAAGAAATAAACACTTTATATCATATTATAAAGGCAGTAGAGTATGACAAGAAGCAATAGCTGTGGAGTCAGAGGATCTGATTCAAGTCCTTGGGCCACAGTCTATTTGTACTAATTAATAACAACGACACTTATTGAACACTCATGTACTAGGTGCAGCCGGAAGTGCTTCAACCCATGAGGTGTGTGCTGTAGTCATTCTTATCTTACAAAGGAACTGGGACACAGAGAGGTTAAGAAATGTACCCCAATGCCACACAGCTAGTAAATGGCAGAGCAATCTGGCTCCAGAATTTACACTCTTTACCAATATATGCTACTCCCTCTTACATGTGTGACCTTAGATAAGTTACTTAGCTTGCCTTGGTCTTGGTTTTCTCACTTGTAAAACAGAGTTATAGTAATAATGCCTAGCTCACTGGGTTGATATATTACTGCGCATGACACGTGTTAGATGGTTAATAAATATTTGTTGATAAACAAATAAAAGAATAACACTGGGGTGATTAAAAAACATAATACAGAGTACATTCTGGAAGCCATGCTAGACAAGAATAAACGTACTATCATTATGGCAAACGTGACTACTGATAGGTTTGTGGCACAAAGAAGTGGAGAAGAGTTATTACCCCAAATCAAAATATAACCATGCATCACTATTGTAAAATAAAAAGCTTTTAAAAATATACACAAGAGCTTAATAATATCTCCAGTGATAAGAATGTAACTGCAGAAAATGAAGTTATTGGAAGTTTCCCTTTTATTTCTGAGTAGTTGAAGATGCATTCTATAATCTGAAAGCTTCATCTTTATTATTGCCAGGAAATTAGGCTGATAAAAAAAGCAGTACTGGATCTCATCCAGCTGAATTATCCAAAGACAAAATGGCCAGCAGCAGATGTAATATTTACATTTATTTTTTTAAAAATTAAGTGCTGGTTATTATTAAAAGAAAGCTCTTGAAACATTCTTATAACAAGTCCCTGGAGGAAGAAGAGTCAGGGTGATGAAGAAATATGGCAGCAAGGGCTGGAATCAAAGTCTCAGAAATTCTTCTGGGCTAGAGGTAACGATTACCAGCTATTGCCTTTGCAAAGAGGGTGAATGACATGCTAGGTTAGTGGCCCAGAAAGAAGAACCACGTTAAAAATGTTGTATCGGACTCTTTTGAAGAGGAACTGCAGTCAGTGGCATTTCATGATCCTTCCATTTTAAATTGTTCTTTAGTACAACACAATAATTTCCAAATTTTGTTCAGTGTTGGCATGTGCTTCATTTTTTCCCTCTTAGCAGTTTGGAGTCTCCAAAGGCCTCCCTATCTTTACTTGTTATCCCATAAAAAGCCATTCTCTACCAATCAGTTTGGTTTTGGTTGAAGGAGTTGGACGCTGAGTCATTCCCTGAATGTGCGAATTGCCTCTTGACAGGGTTTGATAAGGGTTTCTGCTTCCTGGAATGCACCTGAGCTCCTCAGTGCCTCACACATAGTAGGCACTCAAGATATGTTTGCTGAATTGACTGAACAGCAACCAACCACTAACTTCTGAAATGAAGTAAACATTCACATACCCTGGTATCAAAAATGATAAAATTCTTTATGTGGATGGAGTTACTAAAGACAGTCTCTCTATCTCTATCTCTATCTCTATCTCTATCTCTATCTCTATCTCTATCTATCTATCATCTATTTATCTATCTATCTATCTATCTATCTATCTATCTATCTATCTATTTTTTACTGATGAGAGAGAGAGAGAGAGAGAGGAACATTGATGTGAGAGAAACAGCTTATGGTCAACCTGGGCAAGTTGTGCCCTGACTGGGAATTGAACCAGTGACCTTTTGGTGCACAGGACAATGCTCAACCAACTCAGCCAGCTGTCCAGAGTAATACTGTCTCTTCAAGCACCTTAAGTTATGTTTCTTAACCACTAATCCATGAGTGAGTAAGGAAAGTAATGTTTATTCACGAAATCCTATCTAATAAAAGAGAAACATGGTAATTGGCGTATGACCGCTACCCTTCCCATTGGCGAATCAGCAAGATATGCAAATTAACTGCCAGCCAAGATGGCAGCCGGCAGCCAGGCAGCTTGAAACTAATATGAGGCTTGCTTGCTTCAGTGACGGAGGACTCCAACATTCCCCACCTGCCACTGCAGGCCTCTGAGCTGCAACTCTAAGCAACTATGTAACAAATATAGAAGCTAAACAAAACCCCAGAAACCTGCTTTAGTCCGCCAGGCTTCAGCCAGCAGGATCGCAACATTGTAAGCAAAGGCCAGAAACCTACTTTCAGCAGCAGAGGTCCACCGGGCTTCAGCCAGCAGGATCGCAACATTATAAGCAAAGGCCAGAAACCTACTTTCAGCAGCAGAGGCCTAAGAGCTGGGGCCAAGCCTCAAGGCTAAAGCTGGCCCAGAATAAAAAAGAAAAAAAAGAAAAAAAGGAGCAGTTGGGAGCTTCAGTCACCCCCAGCCTGAAAACAGCCCTCAGCCCCTCACCCAGACTGGCCAGGCACCCCAGTGGGGACCCCCACCCTGATCCAGGACACCCTTCAGGGCAAACCAGCTGGCACCCACCTGTGCACCAGGCCTCTACCCTATATAGTAAAAGGGTAATATGCCTCCCAGCACCAGGATCAGCGGAGCCGTGAAGCCTCCCGGCACCGGGATCAGCGTGACAGGGGGCAGCGCCCAAACCCCCTGATCGCCCTGCGGCTCTGTGTGTGACAGGGGGTGGGGCCACAACCTCCCTATCCACCCTGCTCTGTGTGTGACAGGGGGTGGGGCCACAACCTCCCTATCCACCCTGCTCTGTTTGTGACAGGGGAAGGCGCCCCAACCCCCTGATCAGCCCTGCTCTGTGCCGGATAGGGGGGAGCTCCCCAACCCACTGATTGCCCTGCGGCTCTGTGTGTGACAGGATGTGGTGCCCTAACCCCCTGATCGGCCCTGCTCTGTGTGTGACAGGGTAGAGCCATAACCTCCCCATTGGCCCTGCCCTGAGTGTGACAGTGGTGGCACCCCAAGTCCCTGATCGGCCCTGCTCTGTGGGTGATAGAGGGCGGCGCCCCAACCCACTGATCCGCCCTGCTCTGTGTGTGACAGGGGGCAGCGCCCCAACCCCGATTGGCCCTGCTCTGTGCGTGACAGGGGGTGGCGCTGCAACCTCCCCATCGACCCTGCCTTGAGTGTGACAGGGGACGGTGCCCCAACCCCCCAATCGGCCCTGCTCTGAGCCCGACCACGGGCTGCACCTAGGGATTGGGCCTGCCCTCTGCCACCCGGGAGCAGGCCTAAGCCAGCAGGTCGTTATCTCTCGAGGGGTCCCAGACTGCGAGAGGGCACAGGCCGGGCTGAGGGACCTCCCTCCCCCCCGAGTGCACAAATTTTTGTGCACCGGGCCTCTAGTAATTAATAACCAACATCCTGAAAGATCCAACTTACTTTTTTATATATGTAAGCTGAGTGCTACTTTTTGGCTATAATTTGTTCCTTAAAACTGGACATTTTTGTCTGTGCAATATTTTGTTCTATTGAAACCAATTATGAGACCATCACAATGATGAGGTGAAATTTGATGAGACCACAAGTTAAGGCAGTGGTTGTGGATGGGGTGGTGTGAAGTGGAGGGAAAACATTCATGATGTTGTAGGAGATAAAAGCAACAAGACTTAATGAGGGAGATAAAGAGGTCTAGGAAACTTCTGTAATTCTGGTTCAGGCAAGTAAATGTAAGAATGGTGATATATACTAATCTAGAGAGGTATGAAGAATAAAGTTTTAGGTAATGAATTCACTTCAGGACAGCCTAAGTGTGAGATGCCTGAACACCTGTAGGTGAGATGTCCATGCTCAGTTGTAAACATGCTTGCAGAATCCAGGAGAGGACCGGACTAGTGATGAGGCTTTAGGGATTACTGGAAGGCAGGCTAATGAAGACCAGAGTGGTGGATGAGGTCTCTTAGAGAAAGTGGGTAGAGCGGGCTGAATAACAAAGTTTTTTCTAAGGAAAGAGGCAGAAGATCACTAAGGGAAGAGGAAAACATGGATGTCATCTCTCTCCATCTCTCTCTCTCTCTCTCTCTCTCTCTCTCTCTCTCTCTCTCTCTCCTAATACAAGGACAGCATAGCTGATGCGAGCACAAGATAAAGACTGAAAAATAATTACTGAATCTGGGAATTGGGAAGTCACTGGCAGTTTCAGAACGCACCATTCAGCAGAATAACTGCAGCAAAACCACATTTCAGTAAGTGTGTATCAACTGGATAACCTACTTGGACCCAAATAATAAAACAGTACTCTAAAGATTTGATTAAATGGGACTCCAAAGTTGTCCAGCTCTCCCCTGTCTTTTTAATTCCTAATGTCTGATGGCCTTAGATTGATATAATTGAAAGCCCTAGTTTTATATGGGTGTGTTTTGTGTGTGTGTTTGTGTGTGTGTGTGTGTGTGTGTCTTTCTACTTAATATGTTCTCTGGCTTTGAAGATTAACAGTGCTTAGAATCAGAAAGGTTCCGTCTGCTGTGAAGGCTTCTTTCTGGGGTAAGGAGACTAAAGTAACCCTCTTTAGAGACTGTCACCTTGTATTCCTCCCATTGCCTATCTTTCCTTCTGGCTTTCAATCAGATGCCAGTCCAAGGTGCTAAGCAAAAGAGGAACGAAATTAAGTTGATTCGTATGTAGAACAAACCGAGAAGTTTATCACCTTCAAATTGCAAATATATGTCGGCGAGTCTTTAAGAGCAAGACACGCTGAGAATGATTATAAGATGAACATGCCCCACCAGGACCGGGGATGGGGGGAGACCGGCTTACGTGGGGTTCTGAAACTCTCCGCAGCCTTGGACGTAGCTAGGTCAGACCAGGTCTTGTGGTAATCGTCAAATGAGACTCTGATTGCTCTGAGAACATAAATTAAAGTCAGACAGTGCGTAGTTTGCAAGTTTGCTTTTTAACATTATTTTATCAGAGTGGACTGCTTCAGATAACAGTATCTTGTCACAAGACATTAAACTGATGCGCAGTTTTTAACAAACCCGACGTATTAATTCCTCCACTGATACCCACAAATCACAAAAATGAAAACCCATCCAAATCGTTTTTCAATAATAGATATAAGTGTGCACCCGTGTGTGTGGTATATAAACAACAGCAGCAGGTGTAAGTTACCTGCCTTTCATGGCTAACTGAACAAGAACTGCAAGGAAAGGCTCATACCTGTACACTTTCTTCCTTCAATAGATAACTGTCTGACATTACTACGCCGAATGTTAGTCAAGCCACCTTTATTTCTCCTTTATTATGAGGAGAAATGAAACACCAGCATTGAGATTAGTTTAATTTTGACACAGAATTTGGCCATTATCAAAGCAGAACCTGCAACTCTTTCCTGGGATTCCTGCCTGCGGGTTTACTTCCCCGGGCTAATGTTCCTCTGTCCTAACGGGAAAGCAACAGTTGCTATAAAGTATTAAACAGGAACTGTGAAATAGTCTCTTAAAAACTGCCTTTTCCAATTTTTTTCCTACAGATTTCTTGAGGGCAGAGATTCTCAACATTCTACAAACAAAACGTTACTCTGGGATATTTTTCAGACCCGTGAGCTCACTACCTGACTGGCTGAGATGGTTGAGCATCAAATGTAAAAGGCCTTATGTCTGTGTTCCATTTTAGGTTCCCAGCTTTTTGGAGGAAGAAACAACTTTCCCGTTAGAACAGGTCTACTGGCATTAATTTTTATAGGTGCCTGAGAGTAAATATTTGACTACATTTTGAAACGAATGGGGCAATATCTAAATGTGTTAACGCATTCATTTCTTTAACTGACAATGGCAGACACCTCATTTTAAGACTAACATTTTTCAAACGTGTTATTGCTTTTGCAATCACACCTACGTAGGAATCTGAAACTTGGTGAAGATAAATGAATCACGGCTACTATTGCTTCCAGAACTACAAGGTGGTGCTTTCTACTACTAAATGATATACTAAACTAACATTAATTTCCCAAAGAAATGTTTCGGCATTTGGCAAGGGAGGTAACGAAATGAAAGGCTGCATTATGTCTCCTGCATGAAAAAGCTGGTGATCAATTTGCTGTCACAGATCACTTAGCAGACAACAATGACCCAAGAGGAAGGAAACTGTCAACACACTGTCTCTGAAAAAAAATACACCATCTTCAGGCACAATAGTCTCCATTGTCTTCTGTCTGTTTGACGAGGACCCCTGACCCTCCCCTCCTCCCCAACAGTGTCCTGCTCAGTTTCAGACTGTTAGCCTCGGGGGCTTTCTTCTCTTCCTCCAGAATAATTAAAAATATTACTCTAAAAGGCACCACTTCAGTATAGCTTGAATATGCAAAGAATGCCCTAAACACCTGGGAATATTTGCATTTTCACTTCTGTAAAGGAAACGGCCCCTTAAAAGAAGAGAATGGTAACGATTTTACTACTATTCAGGTAGACGGCTAAGTTTACAGGGATAGACTCAGGATAAAAAATACACGTTTATAGTTTCAGCCAATACCAGGACTTTATGAAGCCTTACGAATATGAAAAAGTAGACGACATCATGTAAAACTGAACATCAGAGCTCATTACCGGGGAAAATAAGATGTCTACCTGAATTAGTCAATAGCACCGCTTTACATATTAACATCGTGAAGTGTTACAGCATCTAACACAAGCATCTGGAGAGGATGATGGCAGGTACTTCTCTGGCAATGGCAGTAAGCAGAAGAGGTTGGAATAGGGAGAGGTAACTTTGTTTTGGAGCCAAGAGGGAAAGAGTGACTTGTGTTGTGGCCCTGGAAACAAGGAAAGCAGCATTTTCAGCCAGGGAAACACGGCAATTAACAGCTCCCATGGGGAGGAGCCTGGCCTGTGCGTACAGGGCGTGCTGGGGGTAAGATGATAGTAACAAGATAATCGACGAGAGTGGAGAGTTCCAATTCCAGAGGCATTGGAATTTGATAAAATAAGCGAAACTGGGCAATGCAGGGACTTCAGATTTAGGCAGAGAATGGATTAGAGTTGACTCAGTCATCTTGATTTATTAGGTGATAGAGAGCCATCAGAAGTTCTCCAACAAGGCAAGCAAATTATGAAATCAGTGTGTAAGAGGTTTTTTCTGGCATTAGTATGCAGGGCGGATTGTATGGGAAATTAAATGCTGGGGGACAACTGAAGAAACAAATGTAATAATCCAGGCAAGAGACACAGAGAGCTAATACTAGGATGGGAGCAAAGATTATGAAAGGGGGGAGATGAATCAACAGCAAAGAACAGACTGGACTGCTTAGGGTGTGAAAGGTGAAGGAATTTGAGGGTCAAATATTCTCCTAAAGCCCAGATGACCGGTTCGTTTTGCTATTAATAGAAAGCACCTAGAGAAACCGAAGTAAAATATGAGTTTAATTTTAAACACGGGTTTTAGGTGCTGACCTTTAGGAGTGTGATTGAGAAATTGAGACTGGAAATAGGAGATTTGGGTCAAATCAACATAAAGGTTGATAGATGACGCCATTAGGGAAAGCAAACTCCAGAAGAGTAATTAAGTGTTTAGAAAAGAAAGAGCAGAAACCAGTTCATAGCTGAGAGGAGCCAGTGAAAGAAACAACAGGGAAATTTCGGGGAGCAGAGAACTGTGCTAGTGCTATTTCGGGGAAGCAACATGCCAGCCGTAACAAAGCCTAAGGACTAAGCCTCTAGTGTCTCTGGGTATGGAGTCATTTAGCATCCTGATTAAGAGCACCAGCTCTGGAATCACCTGGCCCGGGAGGAAGCACTCTGGCACTGTGGCTTCCTGGCTGGGAAAAGGCCCTAACCCTCTACTCCTGTTTCCTCACCTATAAAACCAAGGGAGAGAGAGAGAGAGAGAGAGAGAGAGAGAGAGAGAGAGAGAGAGAGAGAGAGAGAGAGAGAGAGAGAGAGAGAGAGAGAGAGAGTGTCTGTCCCGCGTTCCTTGTGAGCACTCAATGAAATCAACTATGGAAAGAGCTAAGGAGAGGCTTCAGTACCCCTCAGTGCCCAGTGTCAGCTGGTCATCTGAACAGACTCAGATAAGTACCTCATCACTTCTCTCCTGCAAACTCTAAACAGCTTCCTAACTGTTTTTCTATCTCAGTCTCTCCCTATTCCAGGTTACCATGTCTCTGTGTGAAAGACACCTTTGATTTCCTAATTCCATAGGATGAAATCTAAACTCTGATAGAACTCCAGGTTCTTCATCATCAAGTCTTTTCCAACCTTTACTCCCACCATCCACGCACACACCCAGAGGCACCATCGTATGGAACCTCCGGCTGACCCTGAGCACACTGTAACATCCCATGTCGGTGACTGTGCAAGCAGTTCCAGCCAGAGACTCCTTTGCTCTCTGTGCTGACAAACTCTTACTTAACGAGGTTCTGGTCCGGTAAAATCTTATGTATAGGAAGGCTGTCACAGGGGACATTGTGGTTGCCTCCTGAACAACTAGTTTGTTCTTCTCCCAGTGTGTAAATGTCATTCGATCTGATGGAACTGCCCCCACCCCTGGCTCTAAGTCAGGGCCTGGTGAATTCAGGGCTGTCCAACAATGGTGACAAGTTCGGGGATAGGAACCTGACCTAAAAAGATCCAATTGGAGCAAAATTTATTCTCACATTCTAGTACATCTTGATATCTAGGAATGTCAATCTTCTTTGTCCTTCTTCTTCAATTGCCTTGCTAGTCTAAATCCTTTGCATTTCTAGATACATTTTACTAGTATTTATTTTTCATTTTTATTCTTTAAAGTATTACATATGTCTCCTTTTTCCCCAGTGACCCCCCCCCCCACCCCACCCCCAGGTGTCTGTGTCCATTGGTATGCTAATATGCATGCATATAAGTCCTTTGGTTGATCTCTTAACCACCCCCACCCTCACCTTCTCTCTGACGTTGGACAGTCTGATCAGTGTTTCTTAGTCTCTGAATTTAGTTCTGTTCATCAGTTTATGTTGTTCATTATATCCCACATATGAGTGAGATCATGACCTGACTGGTTTATTTTGCTTAGCATAATGCTCTCCAGGTCCATCCATGCATGCTGTTGCAAATGATAAAAGTTCATTCTTTTTTATAGCAGTGTAGTATTCCATTGTGTAGATGTACCACAGGTTTTTTTAAAAATATATATTTTATTGATTTTTTACAGAGAGGAAGGGAGAGGGATAGAGAGTTAGAAACATTGTTGAGAGAGAAACCGATCAGCTGCCTCCTGCACACCCACTACTGGGGATGTGCCCGCAACCAAGGTACATGCCCTTGACCAGAATTAAACCTGGGACCCTTCAGTCTGCAGGCCGATGCTCTAACTACTGAGCCAAACCGGTTAGAGCTGTACCACAGTTTTTTAATCTACTCATCTGCTGATGGGCACTTAGGCTATTTCTAAATCTTAGCTATGGCAAATTGTGCTGAGGATCACCTTGTTGATTCCAGAAAAATACTGCTAAGATTTTGACTGAGATTGAATTGAATCCATAGATTAATTTGGGAAGAATTGGCATTACGGTAATGTTGACTATTCCCAAGTTGCAAACATTGTATATCTCTATTTCTTTAGGTCTTTAAAATTTCCCCCCAGATTTTACAGTTTTCAATATAGTTGTCTTTGTTAAATTTTGTTGTTGTAGCAGTGTTTTTAAAATTTCACTTTCTATGTGTTGGTTGCTAGTATACAAAAATATAGTTGATTTTTAAATGTTCACCTTGTAGTCAGGGTTGTTGCTGAATTCACTCATTAATCTTCAAGCTTTGTATATTCATTTTGATTTTACTATGTAAATAATCCTATTATCCTATATAATAAAACCCTAATATGCAAATTGATCCAACTTCAGAACTGGTTGCTATGACGTGCACTGACCACCAGGGGGCAGACACACAATGCAGGAGCTGCCCCCTGGTGGTCAGTGTGCTCCCACAGGGGGAGCTCTGCTCAGCCAGAAGCTGGGCTCATGGTTGGCGAGCGCCACGGCAGTGGTGGGAGCCTCTTCCACCTTGGTGGTAGCTCTAAGGACCCTTCGGGGGATGTCTACCTGCCAGCTTAGGCAGGTGCATAACCCCTGAGGAGTCCCAGACTGTGAGAGGGTACAAGCCAGGCTGAGGGACCGCCCCCTCCCCCCAGTGCATGATTGTCGTGCACCAGACCTCTAGTCTGTTAATAAAGATACTTACTTCGTTCTTTCCAAACTTCAGAGCTTATCTTTCTTTTCCTTGCCTCACTGCACTAGCTAGGACCTCCAGTATAGTGTTAACTAGAAGTGGTGATAATGGGATACTTGTCTTGTTCCTAAACTCAGAAGAAAAAGCGTTCCAACATTTCACATTTAAGTATAAGGTTATTGGGATAAGGAAATTATCTTTCATTCTTAGCTTGCTGAGAATTTTTATCATGAATGGGTGTTAAATTCTAGCAAATATATTTTCTGGATTAATTGAGATCATTTTGTGCCCCCCTCCCCTTTATTTAACAGGGTGAGTTACACTGATTGATTTTCAAATTTTAACCCACCCAACTTTCCTGAAATCAAGCCCCCTTGGTCATGATGTAGTATCATGTTTTATTTATCAGTGGATTCAATTTGCTAATATTTTGATTAGATTTATGCACCTGTGTTTCTGAGAGATATTGGTCTATATATTTTAAAAAAATATATTTTATTGATTTTTTTTACAGAGAGGAAGGGAGAGAGATAGAGAGTTTGAAACATTGATGAGAGAGAAACATCGATCAGCTGCCTCCTGCACAACCCCTCCTGGGATGTGCCCGCAACCAAGGTACATGTCCTTGACCGGAATTGAACCCCGGGGCCCTTCAGTCCAAAGGCCGACGCTCCATCCACTGAGCCAAACCGGTTAGGCTATAATTTGTCTTTCTTGAAATAATCTCATATTTTAGAATCAGAGTTTGGAAGTTTGGAAGTATACCCATTTCCTCCACCCACTGAAAAAAGTTATGATACCTTTATTCAAATAAATTTTTTTTGAAATAACTAGATTTATAAAAAGAGTTGCAAAGATAGTTGACTATTTTTAGATTAACTTAAAGTATAATTTGCATTCAGTAAAACACAGATATTAAGCATACAAATTGATGACTGTTGACAAAAGACTACATCTATATAACCAGAAAGCCAAACAACATATACCTGCAGAACGATATAGGAGAACACTGACCTATACCTGGTGCGTGGGTTCAAGGCTGAATTTATGCCACATTGTCAGGTTGTCTCCAAAAAGGTACAGTGGCTTCTGCCCTTATCCTCACCATTTTCTCTAGAACCTACCTTCTCCTAAATCGCTTGGATTTCTGCTGTCTATAATGATTTGTACTCACTATGTTCACAGCATGCTTTTTCTTTTCAACACTATCAAAATTAAAAGACTAGGTGAGTTCATATAGTTCCTTTCAACATTAATGTAATCACCTAGAAAGAATTCAATAATTTTCCACGTTCTCCCTGAAAACATTTTAAAAATGTATTGTAAGAGGAAAGATATCTTCTTCCTTTTCTGAGTCAAAAAATAATTCAATTTTGAGAGATCATGTAAACAGTTTAAATAAACAGCCCTTTAGTAAATAAATTGCCATAGAATTGTATGAAGAAAAACTTACCTGATTAATTTATCTGAGTCTTTGAATAAATCAGAGCTGCTGTCTTTATTCACTGTGAAGAAAAGATTCTGCTTTACTTAGAAGATTGAATACATGGCTTTATGTGCACTCTTTCCAAACCCTCAATAAAATGGTAATAGGGGAATTAAAATAAGGTATAAAACCTCAAGGAGAGCCAACAAAGATGGCAAGAGAAAAATTTCAAGATGGAAACCGGTGGAAAGGGCTAACTGTCTAGCAGGATGTAGATATCTGAAACAAAACTACGTGATGGGTGGGGGTGGAGGGGGTGGGAGGGTGGGGGCAATAAAAAGCAGGCAGATTTACACTTCAGAACGTGAGTAACAATCCAGAAACTGGAGGTGCCAGATACCTCAGAAAGGTGAGAGGAACAGCGCAGCCAACCAAGATCGACCCCCTCATCCTGTGCACCCAGATGGTCACCACTGCCCAGGTAGGAGGAAGGAGGTGTACTCTCTGGAGAAACTGAGTCAGAGAGGCTCAAGCCTGGAGGAGACTAGGCACAAAGCAGAACAAGAGTGTGGTAAGGGACTGAAAGTGGTGACTAAATCAAATAATTCATATTGAAGAGATAAAATGCCCACTCTCCCCCACTGTCCTGCTCCCAGAGTGTGAGCAGCTAGCATCTCTCTCCCAGATTTATCTCAGGGGAAATAGTCAAGCCTAACTAACGGCTTCAAGCCTAACCAATGGTAACTAATGGTACCCTCCACGGAATAACCCTGCAATGAAACAAAACCGTCCACAAGTCCAGTCTGTAGTTAAATAGTCCCCATCTTTTTAATGACTGATTTCCATTCACCATATGAATAGTCAAAGATCCTAGACATTTGAGTAAATTCAATATCATGAAAGAGAGTCATCAAAACAAATAAACAGGGAGAAAAACAGAGACATACTTTTCTGAAAATTTTCTAGAATATAGAACAAAAAAACAAAGAGACGGATAACAGGAAAAAGTAGATTTTTTTAAGAATTAAAGGATCAATAGATCCCACATCTAAGTATCTGGATATTTAAATGAAAGCACAGGGAAAATGAAGGGAAAATAAATTATAAAAGAAATTACATAAGAAAAATGTCCAGAACTAAAGGATTAAAGTTTTAAAAATCAGATTTAAACCACCTATCAAATGCCCTACATGTGAACCGAGGAGAAAAAAACAAACAAAACAAAACACACACAAAAACGACATCAAGAAACGTTATCAAGAAAGTTCTGATCACTGGGAATAAAGAGAAGAATTTAAAGCTTCCAGAAAGACAATCCATTGCATGTGAGCAACTGGCCCTCTGAAGGAAATCAGGCTTCTTAAGAGCAACCCTGGCAACAAGAAGGCAACAGGGTCTTTACAATTGAGAGGAAACTGTCTCCAAACCTGCCAAAGCATTATCTGTGTTGTTGCTCACTTGCTGGGTGATTTGGCAATTTGGACAGCTTTTCTGTGCGGTTTGATGGCAAAGTTGAAGAAGTGAAAGGGGTGAAGGCTGATGCCTACCAGACAGGAGGACAAAAGGAAAGGACAATTTTTGTTTAGTTTCCTTCTCATCCTTTCTCTCTGCAGGGCAAACACAAAATCGGTTGCATAGAATCATCTGTTGTAGAAAATGCTTTTAAAACGAGCTTTTAAATCTCCATTCACCAGAATATGGACATAGCTTTGTTACAGAATCTCTCTTTATAATGATAGTCCTGCAGGGCTCAACAAAAGGTTAAGTGATATGTATCCTTCCTGCATTCATTCATGAATGATTACTGAGTGCAGAGGATACAGAGGATACAGCCGTGGATGCGATGGTGTCTGGCAGGTTACAAATGTGGTCAGGGTAAAGCAATGTGACTCCTCTGTGTACAAACAGGCCTCAAAACCGTCAGGGAATGTTTGAGGAACCTCCTGGCAACCATGACAAACCAGAAAAGATGCCTGATCCAAACGGCTTCATTTGCATCAGACCCAGAGGCCCTGTGGAGAAACATCTGAACTTGGTTCCAATTGTACAGACCTCGCTAATGGACCAGCAGGTTTTAGAAGGGGACCGGGAAAAGAGAGACTGGGCATCTGAGAGATAAAACACATGAGAGAGAAGTAAGAACAGAGGAATAAGTTGAAACAGCAAGGCCTGCTGACTAAAGAGGTGATGATGCCGGCTACTATGCAAGGTTGTGCACTGCAGAAGAGGAGGGGCAGGATAGAAAGGAAATAACCATGTCACTACGGGCCCAACCCTCCCTTGTGGCAAACCCTTCTGGGCATAGGAGCCAACAGCCTTGTTCTGCTAACTGCAGAAACAGGAGCCATGGAGGTGATGGAGTTAGGAGTCATGTAGAGGTTACTGGCAGAATGAAAGTGATCAAACCAAGGGTATCTTATAAACATTAGTCAATAGAGAGAAAGACTGAAGAGCCTCAGATACCATTTCCACATAGTCACTTAGAAGGAATACCTGGAGGTGGTGGAGGGTAGGGGGTGGGCGTACTGTCTAAAAAAAAAAAAAAAAGAAAGAAAGAAAAAGAAAAAAGCTGAGCATTTTGCTAACCAAGAGGAAGGGAATCCCAGATCAGTAATACCTGGGGTGCTGCCAGTGAAATCTAGGAAATATCCATTATAGATCAAAGAATTAAAACTAGATGTCGTAGCTTTATGATGGGTAGACTAGTTTTAATTGGCACCATCCATGCATATGACCATTACATTCAAAGATACTAAGCTGACAATCTTTGATAATCTTTAAAAAAGATCACGTAATTGGCTTGACAGAGAGGTACAGTAGGGGAGATCTTAGTATAATTTCATTACTGAAAATGGATACAAGAAAATATTCTTTTATATAACAGTTATTTGCTAGATCATTCATCTGCTATAAATATATAAATAATAACTGGCAAATGATAAGTAGGCATTTCTTACATGTTAATTTATTACGGAAAAGTTTCTGAACTATTCGTTTGTATACGGTTTCACTTTCAATCAGTGTTTGGGCTGCTTGCAGATTCACTGGATTTTCTAGCACTGGATTAGAAAGCATAACCTGTAAGAAAAAATAAGGGACACAGTGTTTTTTTTAAGTAAATGTTTTCTCGAAGCAAAAAGAGCAACCAATACATACAATGTTCAAGAAGCATTTATTAAACGCCTACAACATATCTATCCAAAGATGATACAAACACAATTAGGCAGGGTCCCTACTCTCAAGAAACTCTTGATCTTGTCTTCTTTGTTAATTTTATTTTTCAATTACAGTTGACATTCAATGAAAGCATATCGTTGGTTGAGGATTTTAAAAAAAAGAAAGAAACTACTACAGATACCAAATTAATCATTTGATGATCTAGAGCAGTGGTTCTCAACCTTCCTAAAGCCGCGACCCTTTAATACAGTTCCTCATGTTGTGGTGACCCCCAACCATAAAATTATTTTCATTGCTACTTCATAACTGTAATTTTGCTACTGTTATGAATCGTAATGTAAATATCTGATATGCAGGATGTATTTAGGTGACCCCTGTGAAAGGGGTTGTTCGACCTCCAAAGGGGTCGCGACCCACAGGTTGAGAACCGCTGATCTAGAGGGATAATGAAATGAACACAAGCCTTAATACATAATTTTGTTTTATCTGTTACCCAAATATACCCTCATGTGTAAATGTAAAGTTTTATTTTTTTCATTTTTAAATGTATTTTTATTGTTGATAGTATTACAGATATCTCCCCATTTTAAAGCTTTATTTTTTAATGGAAATGTTTTAATATTTTTTAATGTTTAGTTCCCTTTATACCTAAATCCAATTTAAATTTATGTGATAGGAAGGAGTTAGTTATAGGCAGTAACTTGTAATTTGCTTTGATCCTAATGTTTGGCTCATGAATGTACAGTATAAAACCAAGATCAAATTCAATAAATGGTTCTAGGAAAGAGAGAAACCTTGATGTGAGAGGGAAACATCCATCAGTTGCTTTCTGTATGCACTTCAACCAGGGATCGAACCGGCAACCTAGGTATGTCCCTGAATAGGAATCGAACCTGAAACTCCACGAGATATCATGCAGGTCCTTACTTGGACCCTTATATCTCAGAGGCATTAAAGGTGTGAAAAATCCTTCTCTTGCCCAGCCAGTGTGGCTCAATTGGTTGAGCGCCAATCCATAAACCAAGAGGTCACTGGTTTGATTTCCAGTTGGGGCACATGCCCAGGTTTCAGGCTCAATTCCCAGTGGGGGGCATGCAGGAGACAGCTGATCAATGTTTCTCTCTCATTGATGTTTCTATCTCTCTATCACTCTCCCTTCCTCTCTCTCTAAAAATCAGTAAACACATATTTTTTTAAAAACTGTACTCATGCTTGGAATTTCTCTGATGTCCTTTCCTGCCACATTCCTTCTCCTTCTTCCATTGTATTCCTCTGAGTGACTCTTCTGCCTGCCTCTTCTATTGTTAAGGGTTTATGCGATCACTTTGGGCTCCCCTGCATCATTCAGGATAACCTTCTGATTTCAAGGTCAGTTGATTAGTAACTTTCAATCCATCTGCAAAGTCCTTTCACAGCACTACCTAGATTGTTTGATTGAATAACCAGAGGATGGGAGACAAATGGGATATCTTTAAAATTCTGCCTATCCTATCTAATAAAAGACAAAAAGGGTAATTGACCGTACCTTTGCTATGCTTCCCATTGGCTAATCAGGGCGATATGCAAATTAACTGCCGAGAAAGATGGCGGTTAACCGCCCGAGCCCAGCCTGTGATCGCGAAGGGCGAGCCCCGGCCACAGGCACGGTGGCACCCTGGGCACCTGGGCACCCCAGCACCTGACATGCAAAGGTCGGGGATGAAATGACTTTTCCCAACCACATCTGCAAATATCCAGGGGAAGGCATCACTGAAGAGTTCACAACTCTCTTACTTGGCAAGGAAGAAAAAAGTTGGCAACAGAAACAATCCCTTACATCAAAGTTAAGGACCTTCTGAGTAAAAAAGAATATTTCCAACATAAAGGAGGGAGCAGACAAAAATAATAGGTTCTCATGACTTCCGCTGAAGTTTGAGCATATGACAGAGTCAAAATGAACATACAAATTAAAACAGATAGTGGACATTCAAATGACCCGAATCAACTGTCACTGTTTGTTCCAATAGCAGCAATGCTTATGTGATCACATAGTTTAACAAACATACAAAACAAGCCACATGATAAGAGAGGTTCGGCTTCTAAAGTAAATTGAATATGTTCTTTAAAAATTTTCATGTCCTCCCCTCTGACTATAATTCTTAATTTTCCAATCAGAAAATTACCCCAGGTGATCCAGTAACATGTAGAACCTAACTTATTTAAAAAAACAAACATCCCAACCATTTTTAAAATATTTAAATTGATATTTTAGGGTTAAAATTATAGAAGATATTTAGATCCAACTATATTTTCTGAATAGAAAATATTTCAGTTTTTGATTTAAAAAAATAAACATAAAAAAATATATGTGAGACATTTTCCCAAGGAACTCTGAATTAGTACCTTTCCCTCTAACTTTCTTCAAATTAAGAGAATCTATGGAGTTCCCTATACTGCACAAGTTTTAATGAAAGAAAATAAGACTTTCTAAGAGCATCAAATACATGTTTTCTTATTTACAAACATATATACTCTTCTCTCTCTCTTTCTCTCTCTCTAAAATATATTCTTACTGATTCAGAGAGGAAGGGAGAGGGAGAGAGATAGAAACAACAATGATGAGAGAGAATCATTGATCGGCTGCCTCCTACACGCCCCGTACTGGGGATCAAGCCCACAACCCGGGCATGTTGCCTGACCTGGAATCAAACTGTGACTTCCTGGTTCATAGGCCAATGCTAAACCACTGAGTCACACTGGCCGGGCTCAATTCTTATTTATAAATTCATTCCAAGGACATATACAGCTTGAAAAGCTTTGGAAGTAGTTTTAAAAAAAACAAAACTAGCTTTTAAGTAACAAGAAAACAGTTATAGAAGAAAGTTTAAATTAAAAGAAAACAATTGTTTTAATTTATTCAAGAGTGGGAATATCCTCCATGAAAATGTGTACCTTGACTGTGGATGGCTGGGTGGCCTTATCACACCTTAGGAATTCAAATGCTTTTTACAATGAAAAGAAATAGAGTTTCATCTCATTTCTCTCCCAGGGTAGATGTCTGTCAATAGAAGGTGGGCATCAATAAAAGGAGGGTCTTGCACAATCAATACAGAAAGTCAGCAATCTATGAATAATCCAGAACTGAGTATTTATCTCCTGTGCCACACACCCTCCCTTCCAGCCAGTGAGCAAGATAATTACTCTCAAGTCAAGCTAAGTGCCCCCCAGTCACAGTGGCCCAATGCTGACATACAAAGCATACAAATAATTCTCACTCTGGCATAAAAGTGACAACTTTCTTGGAAGAAAACCAGATACTGTAAATTTCTCAAAGTCTTCCTGAAACATTTTTTAAAGTAATTTTTACTTCTTTAGAAAAAATGCATACATGGGAAACCATCTGTAATAAAAGGCCCATTCTATAAAATTTTACCTGGTCCTACTCATATCTGCAATCATAATCATATTTACAGACAAATATATCTATACTAATAAAAGAGTAATATGCTAATTAGACTGGGAGACCTTCCAAGAGACCTTCCAGATGTTATTCTGGACAAAGCCATGGTGGTGGGGCTGAGGTAGAGGCAGTTAGAGGCCAAGAGGGGAGGGCAGTTGTGGGTGATCAGGCTGGTGGGGGGCGGGGCCGTTGGGGGCAAGCAGGCCATCAGTGTGGGTCAGTTGGAGGTGATCAGGACAGCGAGGGGGCAGTTTGGAGTGAGCAGGCTGGCAGAGGGACAGTTGGGGATGAGCAGGCTAGTGGGGAGGGAAGGTAGGGGTGAGCAGGCCAGCAGGGGGGAAGTTTGGGGTGATCAGGCTGGCGGGGGGCATTTGGGCGCAGGCAGGCCGGCAGCAGGGAGGGCAGTTGGGGGCAAATAGGTGGGCAGGCAGAGTGGTTAGAGGCAATCAGGCACGCAGGCAGGCAGGTGAGCGGTTAGGAGCCAGCAGTCCCGGATTGCGAGAGGGATGTCCGACTGCTGGTTTAGGCCCGATCCCTGTAAATTGGCAGTAGGACATCCTTTGAGGGGTCCCAAATTAGAGAGGGTGCAGGCCAGGCTGAGGAACACACCCTTCCCCGTGCATGAATTTCGTGCACCGGGCCACTAGTCCTATATAATAAAAGTCTAATATGCTAAGTATCCGGTCGTCTGTTCAACCAATCAAAGCGTAATATGCTAATCATATGCTAAGGCTGCTCAACCGCTCGCTATGACGTGCACTGACCACCAGGGGGCAGATGCTCCAACTGGTAGGTTAGCTTGCTGCTGGGGTCTGGCCAATCAGGACTGAGTGAGACGGGCCGGACATGTCCTGGAGCCCTCCTGTGGTCCCTCTCCGGCTGGCCAACCTTCCGTGTAACTCCCTGGCCCCGATTGTGCACCAATGGGGTCCCCTGGCCTGGCCTCCACCCTCTTGCAATCTGGGACCCCTTGGAGGATATTTGAGAGCCAGTTTCAGCCCAATCCTGCAGGCCAGGCTGAGGGACTTCACTGGTGCATGAATTTGTGCACTGGGCCTCTAGTGATAATATAAGCACCTCTGGACAAAATAGGGGACCAGCAGTAACCAAAACTTAATAGTTCTGCTAGACCATGATTGTTTTACCTGGCACCTCAAAGTTAATATTAGCCTAAATTGCAAATATTATTCAATAGTTCAGTATTTAGAATATTATATTATAACATGAAAACTATATAATACAGTGTAGCCAAAATATATAGCTAACTAACAGAATACCTAAGTGTAGACACAGGTCAAAGTGGGTAATTGTGACTTAAGAGTCATGGAAATGATGGCAATCTTTCACCAATGCAAGCAATAATTTGACATCTGATATTTCAAAAGCAATAATGATTTTCTATTTGAGTATTCCTATTTGGAAAACACATTTGAGCTACATTTCCAAAAATATTATAATTGCT